CCAAACCCCCCTGGAGTGTCCCCAAACCCCCTTGGGGACAACCTGTGACCCCTGGGGACACTCTGTGACCCCTTGGTGACAATCCAGGACCCATTATTGTCCCTTCAGGGGACATTTCCTGGTACAAATCTGTCCCCAAACCCCCTTGGGGACACTGTGTGACCCCTCGGTGACACTGGGTGTCCCCCCAGGGGACATTTCCTGGTACAAACCTGTCCCCAAACCCCCTTTAGTGACCCGTGACCCCCCTTGGTGACCCCCTGTGCCCCCTTGGTGACCCCTCGGTGCCCCCTCGGTGACCCTGGGTGTCCCCCCAGGGGACATTCCTGGTACAAACCTGTCCCCAAACCCCCCTGGATTGTCCCCAAACCCCCTTGGGGACAATCCAGGACCCCTGGGGACAATCCAGGACCCGTTTCTGTCCCTTCAGGGGACATTTCCTGGTACAAATCTGTCCCGAAATCCCCCTGGGGACACTCTGTGACCCCTGGGGACACTGTGTGACCCCTTGGTGACCCCTCGGTGCCCCCTCGGTGACCCTGGGTGTCCCCCCAGGGGACATTCCTGGAGTGCCACCCCGACGTTCGCATCGGGCACCGTTTCCACCGCTCGTGCGTGTCCCGCCTGGGGGGTCTCATTTTCTGTCCCCACTGCGGCGAGGACGCGTCCGAGGCCCAGGAGGTGACGCTGCCCCTCCCCCGCTCCGAGGGGACATTCCCGGTGCCACCCGCGCCCCCCAACCCCCCCCCGGGCCGGGCCCGAGCCGGGAGGCAGGAGGGGAACACGCCCAGGTATGGGGGGAGGGGACACGGGGGGGAAATGGGGGGAGAAAATGGGGGGAAATGGGGGGGAAATGGGGGGAAATGGGGGGGGAAATGGAAAATAAATGGGGGGGAAATGGGGAAAAAATGGGGAAAAAATGGGAAAAATTGTGGGAAAAAATGGAAAAAATGGGAAAAATTGTGGGAAAAAGGGAAATAAATGGGGGGAAAAATGGGGGGAAATGGGGAATAAATGGGGGGAAAATGGGGAGAAAAATGGGGAAAAAATGGGTGGAAAAAATGGGGGGGAAATGGGGAAAAAATGGGTGGAAAAATTGGGGGAAAAAGGGAAATAAATGGGGAAAAATGGGGGGGAAATGGGGAAAATTGGGGAGAAAATGGGGAAAAAATGGGAGAAAATGGGGAGAAAATGGGGGGGAAAATGGGGAAAAATGGGGAAAAACGGGGAAAAAAATGGGTGGAAAAATTGAGGACAATTTTGGGATACCTGACCCCTCCCCCCCCCCGTCCCCTCCCCCCGTCCCCTCCCCCCAGTGCCCGGATGCGGGGGCAGGGCGAGGGTCGCGCCCCTCCCCCCGACCCCCGGGCCGAGCCCATCGACAGCTCCGGGGGTCCCGTGCTGGCCCTGCCCTCGGGGGGCGCCCTGAGCGCCAGGGGGCTCCCCCCGGGCCCCGCCAGGGACGCCCTGGAGAAAGCTCTGCTGGGCCAGGAGGCCGAGAGGTGAGAGGGAAACACACCTGGGCAGGTAAAACACACCTGGGAGGGGATAAAACACACCTGGGAGGGGATAAAACACACCCCAAAAACACACCTGGGCAGGTAAAACACACCTGGGAGGGGATAAAATACACCTGGGACCCCCAAAACACACCTGGGAGGGGATAAAATACACCTGGGAGGGGATAAAATACACCTGGGACCCCCAAAACACACCTGGGAGGGGATAAAATACACCTGGGAGGGGATAAAATACACCTGGGACCCCAAAACACACCTGGGACCCCCCAAAACACACCTGGGAGGGGATAAAATACACCTGGGAGGGGATAAAATACACCTGGGACCCCAAAAACACACCGGGGAGGGGTTAAAATATACCCCAAAACCACACCTGGGCAGGTAAAGCACACCTGGGCAGGGTTAAAACACACTTGGGCAGGTAAAACACACCTGGGACCCCCAAAACACACCTGGGAGGGGATAAAATACACCTGGGAGGGGATAAAATACACCTGGGACCTCAAAAACACACCTGGGAGGGGTTAAAATATACCCTAAAACCACACCTGGGCAGGTAAAACACACCTGGGACCCCCAAAACACACCTGGGAGGGCATAAAAATACCCAAAAATCTGATTTGGGGGTGATAGAAACACACCTGGGCAGGGTTAAAACACACCTGGGAGGGGTTAAAACACACCTGGGCAGGTAAAACACACCTGAGACCCCCAAAACCACACCTGGGAGGGGTTAAAATACACCTGGGGATGGATTAAATCCCACCTGGGAGTGATAAAAACACCCCAAAAACTCACCTGGGACCCCGAAACCTCACCTGGAGGATCCTAAAAACAACCAAAAATTACCTGGGGCACCCTAAAATATTTCCCAGTCTCCTCCCAGTCCCTCCCAGTCCCCTCCCAGTCCCCTCCCAGTCCCCTCCCATTCCCATCCCAGTCCCTCCCAGTCCCTCCCAGTCCCTCCCAGTCCATCCCAGTCCCTCCCAGTCCATCCCAGTCCCCTCCCAGTCCCTCCCAGTCCCTCCCAGTCCCTCCCAGTCCCTCCCAGTCGCTCCCAGTCTCTCCCAGTAACCCCAGTTCCCCCCCAGGAGGAAGAAGCTTCGTTTCCACCCCCGGCAGCTTTACCTGAGCGTCAAACAGGGCGAGCTGGGCAGGGTCATCCTCATGCTGCGTGAGTTTGGGGGGCCCAAAAACCCAGAGGGGGACCCCAAAAACACAAATGGGGACCCCAGAAACACAAAGGGGGACCCCAAAAACGGGGGGGACCCCGAAATTTGGGGGAAAATCCAAAATCCCGGGGGAAAATTGAGGGAAAATCCCAAATCCTGGGCGGGGTCGTCCTGGTGCTGAGAGAGTTTGGGGGGCCCCAAATCCCAAATGGGGACCCCAAAATCCCAAATGGGGACCCCAAAACCACAAAGGGGGACCCCAGAAACAGAAAGGGGGACCCCAAAGATGGGGGGGACCCCGAAATTTGGGGGGAAAATCCAAAATCCTGGGGGAAACCTCAAAAACCTGGGGGGAAAATCCCAAATCCTGGGTGGGGTCGTCCTGGTGCTGAGAGAGTTTGGGGGGCCCAAAATCCCAGAGGGGGACCCCAAAAACACAAAGGGGGACCCCAAAAACCCTGGGAAATCCTTGGGGAGATTTTGGGGTCCCTAGAGGGAAATTTGGGGGTTTCTGAGCCCCTTTTGGGGGTTCCTGACCCCATTTTTGGGGTCCCAATTCCCATTTTTGGGGTTCCTGGTCCCATTTTTGGGGTTCCTGACCCCATTTTTGGGATCCTAATTCCCATTTTTGGGTTTCCTGACCCCATTTTTTGGGATCCTAATTCCCATTTTTGGGGTTCCTGACCCCATTTTTGGGGTCCTAATCCCATTTTTGGGGTCCCAATCCCATTTTTGGGGGTTCCTGACCCCATTTTTTGGGTTCCTGGCCCCATTTTTGGGGGTTCCTGATCCCATTTTTGGGGTTCCTGACCCCATTTTTGGGGTCCCAATCCCATTTTTGGGGTTCCTGACCCCATTTTTGGGGTTCCTGACCCCATTTTTTGGGGTCCCAATCCCATTTTTGGGGTTCCTGACCCCATTTTTGGGGTTCCNTTTGGGGTTCCTGACCCCATTTTTGGGGTTCCTGACCCCATTTTTTGGGGTCCCAATCCCATTTTTGGGGTTCCTGACCCCATTTTTGGGGTTCCAATTCCCATTTTTGGGGTTTCTGACCCCATTTTTTGGGTTCCTCACCCCATTTTTGGGGTCCTAATCCAATTTTTGGGGTCCCAATCCCATTTTTGGGGTTCCTGACCCCATTTTTGGGTTTCCTGGTCCCATTTTTGGGGTTCCTGACCCCATTTTTGGGGTTCCCGACCCCATTTTTGGGTTCCCAATTCCCATTTTTGGGATTCCTGACCCCATTTTTTGGGGTCCTAATCCCATTTTTGGGGTCCCAATCCCATTTTTGGGGTTCCTGACCCCATTTTTGGGTTTCCTGGTCCCATTTTTGGGGTTCCTGGCCCCATTTTTGGGGTTCCTGACCCCATTTTTGGGGTTCCTGACCCCATTTTTTCCCCCCATTTTTCCCCAGTGGACAACCTGGACCCCAATTTCCAGAGCGACGCCCAGAGCAAGCGCTCGGCTCTGCACGCGGCCGCACAGAAGGGACACCTGGAGATCTGTCACCTGCTGCTGCAGGTGGGCACACCTGGGGGTACCTGGGGACACCTGGGGACACCTGGGGGTACCTGGGATACACCTGGGGGTACCTGGGCACAGCTGGGGGCACCTGGGGGTACCTGGGATACACCTGAGACACACCTGGGCACACCTGGGGGCACATGGGGACACCTGGGGGTACCTGGGATACACCTGGGCACACCTGAGGGCACCTGGGATACACCTGGGGGCACCTGGGGGCACCTGAGGGCACCTGGGACACACCTGAGACACACCTGGGCGCACCTGGGGGCACCTGGGGGCACCTGGGATACACCTGGGCACACCTGGGGGCACCTGGGGACACCTGGGCACAGCTGGGGGCACCTGGGCACACCTGGGATACACCTGGGATAGACCTGGGCACACCTGGGATACACCTGGGATACACCTGGGATAGACCTGGGCACACCTGGGATACACCTGGGATACACCTGGGTCACATTCCAGTGACAACCCAGTGCTCCCAGTACAGCCCAGACCATGGGGGTTACATACTGGTCTATACTGGTTCATACTGGTTTATACTGGTCCGTACTGGTCCATACTGGTTTATACTGGTCCATACTGGTCCATACTGGTTTATACTGGTCCATACTGGTTTATACTGATCCATACTGGTCCATACTGGTCCATACTGGTCCATACTGGTCCGTACTGGTGTGTCCGTGTCCCCAGGCCGGGGCCAACATCAACGCCGTGGACAAGCAGCGCCGCACGCCGCTCATGGAGGCCGTGGCCCACGACCAGCTGGAGGCCGCGCGCTACCTGCTCCGCAGAGGGGGCTGCGTCTACAGCAAGGTGACGTCACCGTGACGTCATCACACGCGACTCTGTGACGTCATCGCGCCCGCTGGTG